GAGAAGGCAAACAAGAAAATTAAAATGGAATTCTTACTCACATTCAAATAACCTAAAAAAAGACAGCAAAGGAGAAACAGAGGAACAAAAATTAGACAAAAAACAAAAGAGTAAGACGCAAATAAATTGCAAGTCAAAAGATGAAAAATATATACTATGCAAATAGTAATTAACCAAAAGAGAGCTGGAGTGGCTGTACTAATATCAAACAGAAGACTTTTTAAGTCAAAAATTGTTACTAAAGACAAGGATATTCTAAAATGATAAACAGGTCAATTTATCCAGAAGACATAAACATATGTGAACATAATCCAGCAACAAATAAAAAAATATTATGTACCATGACCAAGTGAGATTCATCCCAGGAATGCAAGGTTGGTTCAACATACCAAAAAGTTAATCAATGTAACACACCATTTCTATTACTCAACAAACTGGAAACAGAAGAGAACTTCCTCAACCTGACAAAGGACATCTATGAAAAATCCACAGCTAACATGATACTTAATGGTGAAAGGCTAAATGTTTTCTCCCTAAAATCAGAAGCAAGCCAGATACATGTTCTCACTACTTCCATTCAGTTATCTACTGGAGGTGCTAGCCAGGTTAATTAGGCAAGAAAAAGAAATAAGACATACACATTATAAAGGAAGATGTAAAACTATTTCTATTTGCAGATGACATGATCTCATATATAGAAAATCCTAAGGAATCTACTAAAAACTATTAGAACCAATAAATGAGTTCGACAAGGTTGCAGGATACAAGATCAATATACAAAAATCAATTGTATTTCTATATACTAGCAATGAACACTCCAAAAATAAAAAGAAAATAATGCCACTTACAAAACCATCAGAAAGGATAAATATGAATAAATTTAATAAAAGAAGTGCATGACTTGTACACTGAAAACTACAAAATATTATTGAAAGAAATTAAATAAATGGAAAGACACCCTATGTTCCTGGATCAAAAAGTTTGTATTGTTAAGATGTCAATACTCCCCAAACTGATGTAGCGAAATTCAACACAATCACTGTCAGAATCCCAGCTGGATTTTTTTTTTTTTTTTGCAAAAATTGACAAGCTGCTCCTAAAACTCATATGGAAATACGAGGGACTCAGAAGCTCTAAGATAACTTGCAAAATAAAGAACAAAGATGGAGGACTGGCTGGGCATGGTAGCTCACACCTGAAATCCTAGCACTTTGGGAGGCTGAGGCAGGAAGATCGCTTAAACTCAGGAGTTTGAGGTTGCAGTGAGCTATGACAATGCTACTGTACTCCAGCCTGGGCAACACAGAGAGACTCTGTCTCAAAAACTAAACTAAACTAAAATAAAATAAAATAAGGATGGAGGAATCACCCTTCCTAATTTCAAAGTTTACACAAAGCTACAATAATCAAGACAGTGTGGTACTGGGTTAAAAATAGACATAGAGATCAGTGGAATAGAATTCAGAATCCAGAAGTAACCCCTTACATTTATGTCCAATTGATTTTCAACAAGGGTGCTGAGACTATTCAATGAAGAAAGAATAGACTTTTCAACACAT